ACTACTACTACTACTACTACTACTACTACTACTACTACTACTACTACTACTACTACTACTACTACTACTACTACTAGTACTACTACTACTACGATCCAGTAAAAGACTCGCGATATCCCAACCGCAATAGTTCACGCGTGAATCTGCTCCTGTAAGGTGTCAACTGCAATTTCAGATTGCAATCAACACAAATGGTAACACTTCAAGATGTTGTCTTCATTGGCTTTTTCCTCGGTTGTGATCCGACCGTGCCCGGTGCTTTGGACGGTTGTGATCTGACACGTCCGGCTGTGATCTCAGGCGACCAGTTGCGATCTGAACCCATCGCGCACAGGGGGGTTCGGGACGAGAAAAAAGGAATATCCAGAAATATTCAGAATATGCACTGAAATATTCCCCAAAAAAACCATACTACTTTTAGCAATTTTTTGATATTCCCCCTGTAGCGGGACAGGCCCGACTTAACCCTATTCCTCCTTTCCCTCTCCTACGTCCCTTCTCCTCGCGGTCGCGGCCGCGCTGACGAGGGTCGCCCACTCGAGGAGGCGCGGCCCCCGTCTCCGCGACGTCTTTCGCCCGTGGGCCAGGCGAGCCGCCTCTGAAACGGGTCTCGCGGTTTGTGCCGTGGCTAGCCCTGGAGGCCCGCGCAGGCCCACAGCAGTTGGTCCGTGTCCGTCCGGCGCCCTCGCGCCGCGCCATCCTCCTTCTGGGTCTCGGATCCCCCTCCCTCGGCGGCGGCTGCGCCTCGTCGGCCGCCCGCGCGGCCCGCTGCGCCCTGCTGCTGTCCAGCGCCGCGGGGGACGCGAAGGCGCCGGCCAAGAAAGCTGCTGCATTCCTGCTGCTCGCCGCCGCCGTCTGCGCGGCCTTGATCCTGCGGGGGTCGTAGCTCTCCCGCCTGCAGAGCCCCAGGTCGATCCTGTTGACGCGTTGCCGCTGGCGCGCGTGCCGCCACCGTTCCCGGAGTACGTGTCCGAGCGCCTTCGGCCTGAGCAAGTCCTTGCTGCTCATCACTATCCAAGCTGATCCGTTCGTCGAGCCCCGCGCGGCGCCAGGCCCAATCCCCCGTCAGCGTCCACCCCGTCGTCTTGAGCATGGAGGCGATGTTGCCGCCCCCCTCCCCAGGCTCGGCCTTTCTTCCACCGCGTCGGTGTCGTGCCAGGCCTCGCCTTGGTCGCGATGTTCGCCGCCGCTATCACGGTGGTCTGCTGCGCCCCGTAGGCGACGTCGAGTCTGTGCCCAGGCGCCAGCTTCCTGAGCGCCGGCGCCGTGCGTTGGGGGAGACCGACCGCGCGGTCTACTGCGGCCTGGATTTTCCCTGTGTCTGATTTGCTCGGCGCGTCGTTCCCGCACTCTACCACGCTGATGGGCCCCGGCGCCAGCACCGTTCGCAAAGCCCGCGGCTGCAGAGGAAGCAGCCTCGCGCGGCGCGCCTGCTGAAGCTTTTTTCCACTTCTGTTTTTCTCCCTGTCAACCTCGGCCTTCTTCTGGCCTCCCGTGAGCTTCATGCCCGAGACCTCGAGCTTGTCGTGGACCCTGTCCGTGGGAACCCCCTGCTGCAGCAGCTGCCAGCGCTTGCTCGGCGCCGCCGCCGCCTACTGCTGCATGAGCGGCATGATCGTCAACACCTCAAGTAAGAAAGCCACCAGGAGGAACGTCATTTCGACGATGGTCGGCTCCAAAACGATAAGCTACCACCCCGCGATAATCGGCACCACCACGAGGGGCGGCGCCAGCACGCGGGGCATGATCTCAACGATGGTCGGCCCCAGCCCCTTCACGAGATTCGAAACGAACGTGATCGCCAGGATCCTCAGCGCGACCATGAGGAAGGTCACTCCAGGAAGATCGGCCCCGGCACCCCCGCGATGAGGAAGGGGAGAATCGGCGCCACAACGTCGCGCCGCAGGCCCCCCGCGACGGAGTGCATCAGCGATTCCACGAAGATCAGCACCCGCTCTTTGAGAAAGAAAGGCTCCGCCATGGAGAACGCTATGGAGAGAGTCGCGAGAGCAGCAACGTTTGTTCGGCATCTCCATGAAAAGCGGCCCGAGAGTCGCCCTGGCGATAGGCACCTCCCCGACGATGGTCCGCGCAAGCACGCCCGATGAGATCAGCTCCAGCATCGCCGCGAGGAAGAAAACCAGAAACAGACCGCAGCACGAAACCGATATGCGACTCGGCACGCGAATTCCCACGCCAATGGGCAGCTGCGACAACAATGCCAATGTCGCAGGGTCGTGCTGCAGTGGAGCACTGGCCAGCCCATTGCGAACACGCCCATCAATCGAGGGAAAGAGGCGCACCTGGACCACGATCCTGTCCACACGACTGTGCAACGTGATCGTCGCCGGATGCCCGCTGAGAAGTTGGAGAGTCGTCCGTTCGATCCGCGCGGCCGTGACCATCGGACAGAAGGGGAGAGGCGAACACAGCAGAGAACGCAAATGCGAGCGAGTGGCCACACCTCGGGCAGACGCCAGAGCCAAAGTGGTCATGCGCAGGGGCACTTCCATGATGATGATGATGATGATGATCATGATAATGGCGATGATGATGACGATGATGATGATGCTGGTGGTGATAATGCTGATGATGGTGGTGCTGGTGGTGATGATGCTGATGCTGATTGTCAGCAGCAGGCGATGGAGTATCGGAGGTGCCAGCTTCCCCCTGTCGCGGCGGAGGCGTTCTGCTGCTCGCGTTCCTGACCCGCTTGATGCTCCTGGCGCCGCGGCTGCTCCTGGCGCGGTGGTGGCTAGTGCTTCCGCGAAGATGCTGGCCAACTTCGCCGTGAGCTCCAGAGAGCCAAGTTGGAAGGTGCACTCCCGAAGCTGGGCAGCAGGGGCGCAACCTCCACCTCCGTCTTGACTCGCCGTTCCGGCTCCTCCTGGGCACCTCCGACGGCGGCGATGGCACTGGCAGCTCGGTCTGCCGCGTCCTTCTGCTTCGCCTTCGAATTCTCGACCTCGTCTTCGCACCTCAAGAGGTACTCTGTAGACTCTTGATACAACCGCTGGCCCCCTCTGAGCGTAGTGAGCGTAAGTGCTGGATGCGCCTTCGTGCGGATTGACACAACAAGTGCTGCAGGAGGGAAAACGCAGATTCGTCCCAAGTATCAGGTGCCAGCATCTGGTCTCCTGACATCTGCGATGGCTGTGCCGGCTGGTCTCTTTCCCAAGGCGCACGAACTGCGGGGATGTGCCCCGTGCCTACTTGCCACGAGGCGGCGTGGGCGACACATCAATGCGTAGTTTCGCGCCGCAGGCGCCGGCTTCTCCATTCATAATTGAAACGGTAACCGCGCTTCTTGGTCGGACAACACACCACGTGTTTTGTCCGTCTGCCATCGAGAGAAGCTCCAAGGGAAGGCCGAACAAAAACAGGCGCTGGGGAGAGACGCCGTCGCTGGGGCGAACCAGCAAGGGCTCAGCCAAGAACGAACACGGCGAAACGATACACCCTGACCGCGGATCAGGTGTGCCCACTGAGTTCGCAAAGATTCCCCAAAACCTTGAGACAAAATGGCTGCGGTTCCTCTTTCTCTTCTTCCTCCTCCTGCGGTCCCTCCCTGCCAAGGCCCCGGGCACCTAAGAAAACCCTCGGCCGTTGGGGTTATGGACCCAAGTTCATCGCCGGCCACCGCCTGAACGCAGCTTCCTTGAGCACTGGCCGGTGGCACTCCTGGCCTGGCTGCTATTTATAATTCGCTATCTAATTAAAGCAAAGCCGACGTCTGATTGCAAGGACGTCGCTGAATTAATGTCACCAGTGCCCCGCAATCATCCGCGAACGCACCCACCTGCCGAGGAGGAGAAGGAGGAGGAGGAGGAGGAACAAGAGAGGGGGGAGGGCGAAACACAATCAGGGCGGCCAACAAGGGGCAAGAAAAGGCATGGGGGAGACGAGGGTTGTTCACGTCGTCGGGGGTCGTGGCCGTGGTCATGGTCGTCGAAGAAGAGCGTCGCCATGCCGTCGCTACTGCTGGGGTCGCCGTCGTGGTGGTGGCGGTCGGCCTGGGAGGCGTTGTGGTGGTGGTGGTCGTTGTGGTGGTGGGAGGTGTGGCCTCACTGACCGTCTTTGCGCTGCCGCACTGGAGCTGTCGGAATAGCTGTCGGGCACCTCGCCCCGGGCCGCTTCATCAACGTCGTGCCTAATGATAAGTTCGGATGAGCGGCCCAATGTCTCGAAGACCAACAGGGCAAAGTCACCCCCTCTGGGGGGCACTGGGTCCCCATGGCTGCTGCGGTCACACAGTCGTTGTTGGACCGGGTTTTCCTGCGACGGGCGTACTCTGAGTATTCGCAGTTAGTGTTCCAAACAATACAGACGAGCAGGCCAGTGACCAGATCTGTGGTGGCGACGTCCAGCGTGGCAGCCTACAGTATGCCTGTGCGCTGGCTGACGCGGTCTGACGTTGGGACAAGCTGCTCCGTGGCCGCGGCGAAGCCAGTGAAGGCGGTGCGTAGCTGTGCGTGCCAACCCTGCATGCGGTCATGGCGTTCGGCGCGGGACTGTCCAACTTCGCAACACAAGGCGTGCCACCGATGGTGCCAACACCATCGTCCAGCGGCGCGCCGCAGATGGTACCGTCGCGGCGGCGGCGGTGCTGGCACGCGGCGCCCGGCGGGCAGACGTTGCACCAGAGGCGACGCTTCATGGCGGTGAGAAAATGTTTGTCGGGCGTGGCGGGGTCGCCCTCCTCGCAAGGCAGAGTGATGACGCCGGCCCCCGTCCCACAGGCGCCCCGGAGCGCCAGGCGGTCGTCCTCCTCGTCCTCCTTCTCCTCCTCCTCCTCCTCCTCCTCCTCCTCCTCCTCCTCCTCTTCCTCCTCCTCCTCCTTTTCCTCCTACTCCCCGGCACCGCCATCCCTTCCCGCCCTCCTCTCCTCCTCCTCTTCCTCCCCCGCCTCCGCCTCCTCCTCCCCCTTCTCTCCTCCTTGCACCCTCCCTCCTCAATCCTCCTCCTCCTCCCGTGGGAAATGCGGACGGGGTGGCCGTGTCCTGGACGATGGGGCAGCGGCGGGGCGGGAGCACCGAGGCCAGAAAACCTCTGGTCCGCCGCGGCGGCGGCCGGCGGGGCACGGCGCGCGGGCGCCCGCCCACTATGAGGGGGGAGGAGGAGGAGGAGGAGGAGGAGGGGGAGGAGGAGGAGGAGGAAGGAGGACGAGGAGGAGGAGGAGGAGGAGGGCAGGAAGGCTGAGGAGGATGAGGAGGAGGACGAGGGGAAGGAGGAGGAGGACGAGTAAGGAGGGGGAGGACTAGGACGAGGAGGAGGGGGAGGAAAAACGACAGAGGGAGGGAGGAGGAGGATGAGAAGAGAGGACCAGCTGCAAACCCAAGACTCATCAACGAAGTTGGGGTCAACCCACCCTCCAAGCACTTTCTTCATAGGCCCCTGCAAAGGTCCATTTCCACGGAGGAAAGTGCCTCGTTGGGAAACAACTGATTGAAAACCCTGAAACGTACCAGAAAACGATGCTCGGGACTGTTACGTCTCGGCGATCCTGAATCGTACCAGAACACACTTCCTGGGACTAAACCACCGCAAATCAACGTATATGTTGCGCCCTCACAGTCCTGAACCCTTTCCAAAACACCATAAGAGGTACGTCGACGATGGAATTGCATGACCTTCTTGCAAATGTTTAAGACGAGTGCGCGCGGCGCTAAAACAAGAACCACTATTTGAAAAGGACCCGCCCTCAACCCGTGAAACTCATGCAAATGCTTAAGACGAGTGCGCGCGGCGCTAAGGCGGGAGCGACATGTTTGAAAGGAGCTACCCTTAACCAGTGTAACTTATATCGCATGTCAAATGAGAGCGAGAGCAGCGCTAAGGCGTGAACCACATTCTGAAAACGACCCGCCCTCAACCCGCGAAGCTCTTGGACAGTTTCAGAAAGTGTGCGCGGCGCCAAGGCAAGAACCACCTTTCGAACGCCACCCGCCCTCCATCGGTGAAACAAATTTCCAGCTTACGACTCATTGCTTTAACCGCCACCGTCGCAACGCGAATGCCGACCACTACGAAAACTTGTTGAACAGACGTGTCAACGGACCAGAGGCTGCAGGGATCCAGCGGAGCGGTTGCTCTTGAAAGCCGTTTCCTCACCGCGCGCGTAGGGGAGGACAGACAAACCCAGACGGCGAAAAATACGGAACCCCTGAGAAACGTATCGGCCCCGCGGCGGCACAGAACTGTGTTATACCCCTGCCACGTGACCCAAACAGCCACGCTAATACATCGAACACAACATTATGCTATCAAGTACAGAGGACAAAGAGGAAGAGGAGGAAACGAAGAGAGGAGGGGAGAAAGGGGAAGAACTCGCGCGTGCAATCTAGGAGTTCAGGAGCAGCGAGAGCAGTGAACGGCAATACTGGTTGTGGCAGGGCGTGCGCTGCGATGCCTGCCTGCCCGAACCCTGCCGAGCAGGGGCGGGGAGGACAGGGTGCGCACGACCGTGGGCTGGACGGCTCAACAAAAACCTACGCGAGAACAGAATGACGAGAGGAGGGAGGCAACAAGGGGGAGGCGCAGAGCACTGGCCACGCAGGGCACGCCGCGCTGGGCCCCCCAGGGCATGCTGAGAGCCGATCAGGCGGAGAAGCAGACACAGCCCCTCCTCCTCCTCCTCCTCCTTCTCCTCCTCTCCCCCTCCCCCTCCCTCCCCCTCCTTCTCTTCCCCCCCTCCTCCCCCTCCCCTCCCTCCCCCTCCCTCTCTCTTCCCTCCGTACTGAGACTTGTCTGCCACATAGTCGCCTGCATGCGGGTGCCGCCGCAATCCCTGTCGGGGCATAGTCGGAGCTGGAGCCGCAGCCGGAGTCGGAGGTGAGGCAGGAGCAGGCGTCGGAGCCTGAGCTGGAGTCGGCGGTGGTGTCGGGGACGGAGCCGGCGTCGGAGGAGGAGGAGTCGGGGTTGTTGCCAAATCTGGCGCTGGAGTCGGCGTTGGGCACGGAGATGGGAGTGGCGTGGGGCTGGAGTCGGAGTAGTGTTGAGCGCAAAAGTCGGTGTCGAGGCGGGATTCGGACATGGGTCCAGAGCCGGAGCCGCAAATTCCGTCGGAGCAGAAGTCGGAGCCAGAGCTGGGGTCGGGACCGGGTGGGTGCGGGAGTTGGAACTCTGGTCTGCGCGGCAGTCGGTGAACTGAGAATTCCCAACCTAGCGTCGCTACCCAGAGCAAGCGGGGTATTCCGTGACACATTCCAGCCCGCGAGGAATACATCGGCTGGCCGGTATCCCCCAAACCTGGCATGGCGACACGGTTGGTCCGACACGCCGGCGTTCACCCAAACCGCTGGTTATGCACACAGATCCGACTCCACGGCTTGCGCAAAGAGCGCTCGTGTTGATGGATGCCATGGCGCGGCTGCGAGTGGCATCTGGAGCTGGCGTCAACGCTGGTGTCGACGCTGACAGTTTCGGAACTGGTGTCGGTGCTGGTGTCGATGCCGGTGTCAATGCTGGAGTCGGAGCCGGCGTCGACGCTGGTGTCGATGTTGCCGGATATACGTACATTCTCCTGCGCGTGGACTTCGAGCGTAACGGTCTGGACATCCAGGCGTCCCAGAGTCGACGCAGGAAAACTACATACAGGCCGACGTCGACGTCGACGTCGACGTCGATCGACGCCCGACAAATTTCGGCCGCGTTCGCCAGACAGCCCACCGTGCGTGGTGACGTTTACCCGGCTGGCGCCAGATCTGCCAGGGAAAGGGAAAATATAACGAATATTCCCCCCGCTCCCGGGCAACAAGTGTCACGGGTAGCTCTCTGGTTCCTCTCTCGTGCGAGGCCGGTGGCCAGGAATCGCCAGCCCGCAATGCTGTATCGCACTGCGTGCTGTGGGAAATCCCAGTCGTGCTGCTCGCCGTGCTGCTGGAGTCCCCATCGTGCTGCTCATCGTCGTGCAGCTGGAGCCCCGTCGTGCTGTTGTTGGTCGTGCTCCTCCTCCTCCTCCTCCCCCTCCTCCTCCTCCTCCTCCTCCTCCTCCTCCTCCTCCTCAGTCTAGGGGCTGCCGGCCCATCCTCCGCCGCAGGGGTCGCGCAGGGGTCGGCCCGCCGGAGCAGTGGGTTGGCCACTGAGCAGTAACACCAACGTCTCGAAGGATGGCAAAAAACCCAAGGATTGCAAAGGATTGCAAAAAAACCTTCGTAGGATTGAAGGATTGCAAAGAAACCCTTCGTATAGGTTTTAAGAATTGCAGGGTTTTTTGGCAATCCTTCGTTCAAAGGTTTTTTGCAATCCTTCGTATAGGCGGGCACACCCGAATTCTGCAAACCTGATGCACTTCTCCATTTACGACCCATAGGTGGGCATGCCCAATAGATTACTCCAGATTTCGTAATAAAGGGAGGGGGGTCTCATTTCGGGGGGGGGTCTCTTCCAGGCTATCTTGGAGGGCCTGGGGGGGGTCTGGGGACGACGTTTTGGAGGGTTCTCCCACGGGGGAGGTCTGAAATGGCTTGTCTTGGAGGGTCCAGACCCCCTCCCTTTTATTACGAAATCTGGAGTAGGCGGGCACACCCGAATCTCTGCAAACCTGATGCACTTCTCCATGTACGACCCATAGGTGGGCATGCCCAATAGATTACACCTTCGGTGCCAACTGCGCAGGCACAACCGTCGAACGTCGACGTTAGCGTCGGTGTCGGCGCAGGCGCTGGTGATGGCGTTGGCGCGGACGTTGGCACTGTCGTCTGTTTGGCGCTGATGCAGCTGTAGACGCCAGGCGTGGTGCAGGCGTCGATGCTGATGCAGGCTTTGCCACTGGTTCTGTCATGGACGCAGTCGTTGACGCTGTCGTCGGTCACCGGGCGAGGCCATTCGATAGCGGATGGGCCGTCACGCCCGTTGGGCCAGATCGTACGCATGCCCTTGCAAACCCGAGTGAAGCCCCAAAACAAGTTATAATCGTCACGGAGTCGGTGCGACGACACACTTTGCCAGCGCCAGGGGACAGATGTGGATCCGTACCCGCAGATAGCCAACCAAAAAATGCAATCATATGACAGAACACGTGTAGCCATCAGAGCTGGTCGGTGCGGGAGTCGGTGAGTTTGTCGGTGCTGGAGTCGGTGAGTTGGCCTGCGCTGGAGTCGGCGAGCTGGTCGGTGTGGGAGTCGGTGAAATTGTCGGCGCTGAAGTCGGTGAGCGGGGTGGTGCGGGAGCCGGCGAGCTGGTCCTGGTCGGCGCGGGAATCGGTGAGCTGGTCGGTTCGGGTGCCGAGCCGGCGAGTCGATCCGGCTGAACCACCACCCGCCACAACAAAATGTGGCCATTTTTGCTGTCGGTCCGCGCCGCCTGGAATGCAGGGGGGCACGAATAGCATCGTGACGGCAAGTGAAGGAGCAGCTGGTGTCGCGGCCGAGGTCGGGGCTGGAGTTGTGGCCGGGGCTGGCCGGCATTGGGAGGGGAGTCGGAGCTGGAGTCGGAGCCGACGCTGGAGTCGGGGCCAGGGTCGGACGCTCGAGTCGGGGCCAGGGTCGGAGTCGACGCTGGAATCGTGCCGTCGTTCCCAGCCGCGGTACTCAGCGCGGTTGTGCGCGCTCGACGTGTTGGTCACCAAAGTAGATGTCGAAGTGGAGGCGGCGGTCCAATCTGGAGTGGCAGAGGGGGAGGTGGGAGGATGGAAGATGAAGACGAAGTGGAGGTGGAGGTGGGAGTAGTTGGTGTCGATTGCCGCGCGGCGGTCAAAGATGCACTGAGATCGTCGGGAGAGGCTTCCCCCGCCGCGCGGGGTTCCACGTGTTGCCCAGGGTACCTTGCATTGCGATGGCGCTTAGCTCCCTCGCTCATACATTGCACGACTGCGTCGTTTACGTCGGTGTCGTGGCTGAGAGCGTTGCGTCCTTACTGATTGGTGGCGTTGTTTTTGCCGTATATCAGCAGGGCGATGTTGAGGGAGGAGGGGGAGGAGAAGAGGGAGAACGACAAGGAGGACGAGCAGGAGGGAGAAGGAGCAAAAGGAGCAGGAGGAGGAGGAGGAGCAGGAGGAGCAGCAGGAGGAGGAGGAGGAGGAGCTGGGGGGTACCAAAGTGGACAGTGTGCCGTACATCGGCAAGAGGATGATGATGATGATGATGATGATGATGATGATGATGATGATGATGATGATGATGATGAGGAGGAGGAGGAGGAGGAGGAGGAGGAGGAGGAGGAGGAGGAGGAGGAGGAGGAGGAGGAGGAGGAGGAGGGAGAGGAGGAGGAGGAGGAGGAGGAGGAGGAGGAAGAGGAGTGAGGCAGGGGGGGATGTGGGGGAGGAGGAGGGGGAGGAAGAAGAGGGAGAGGAGGAGAGGGAGGACGAGGAGGGAGACGAGTGGGATCATGATCCCGATCCTGATTCAATGGGGGCATCCACTAAGCAAGAACTACAACCAAACCAATTTCCCAAGTAACAAGTCGTGAAAGAAGCCCCTGCGCTGGCCGTTTCCAAACGAAGCCGAACCTCTTACATCCCAGATAGGACGGAGCACGGGTGCCCGAACCCGAGGAGAAGGGGACCCCCTTTTATGGGTTTACTTGAACCTGTCCAGAACACTCACAGCGTCTCTTGTTTCTTCGCCTCGGGATGCTTTTAAGCAGCGGCGCCTCGACGAGAGCTTTCCTGGGATGCTGGGCTCGTCCCAAACTGAAGCACGAGGTATGTTCCGACGACCGACACCCTCGCGTCGTGGAGAAAGAACGGCGGGAACTGTTGGGCAACTTTCGGCCTCCGGCGGCCCCCTACTGGATGGTCCGACGACGACTTGGGATGAGAAGCCGGTCCCTGGGACGGGATCCAGAGCTCTGGGGAGCCACGTTGCAAAACAAATCACGACGTTGGATGTCTGGGTGACAAGGATTTCCCCCCCTGTCGACGACCGCGGATGGAGGGAGGAGCAGCGAAGGCACCAGCCCCATGGACAGACCTGCCTACAGCTGACAGATCATGGGATGGGAAGGCGGATGAGGAAAACGGAGGGGGAGGAGGGTACCCCAGCTGCGATCAATCCAACACGCGGCGCTTGGGGGGGTGGGGAGAAAGGAGAGAAGCGGGACAGACGAACCGCGAGCACAAGAACGAACGACAGCAACGGCGGGACACCACAGTAGTAGGCAGACGAATGGCGGAGGGCGAGGGAAGGAGGGGGAGGGGGGGGTTAGGGGGGGGAGGCGGGAGAGAGGAGGCGGAGCGTCGCCGAAGAACGGATCCTCCTTACTGAAGCTTGCCTCTCTACCTCTGCGCTGGGCAGCACAGGCATTGCCCTGCAACCAACCTACAATCGCTATTTACGAGTTGGACCCGCCCGGGGAAACTACGGGATTGCAACAATCAGCTAACCCAACAACCCAGGGGCCGTGGGAATCATCACACAATCAGAGCAATGAAGCACGCGACTACTACGTGCGGGCTCGAAGACTGAACGACGGAAATGCATGAAGCGTGACTCGATCGAATCCCTGACTCCTTGACTCAGCTACCGAGGGTCGGGAAGAGGAGTAAGAGGAGATGAGGGAGAAGGAGGAGGGAGGAGCAAGGAGAGAGGAACGATGAGAAGAGGGAGGCGCAGAAGGAGGAGGGAGAAAGTAGGCGGAGGAGGAGGAGGAGGAAAGGCAGAGAGAAGAGAGGGAGGGAGGAACAGGAGGAATGAGAGAGGAGGGAGAATGGGGCTCATTTCAGTCCTCGCGCTCCTCCTCACTCCCCCCCCCTCGCTCCTGCTCGTTGTCCTCCTCCTTGCTCCACGCTCCTCCTGATCCTCATGTCAGTCCTTGCTCCTCGCTCTTCCTGCTTCTCGCTCCTCCTTTTCTTCTTCCTCGCTCCTCCCACTCCCCCTCCATGTCCTCGCTCTGGTGGCCGTGACCCCTTGCCTCAAGTGTGTAGGATCTTATCGGCCCAGCGTCGTCGTGGCACAGGCGCCGACACCGCTCCACGTGGACGCGAAGACCGTCTCCCTCGGAAGACGGCGCGGAAGACGGCGATGCACACACCGTACACGTGACTACATCGAACGGGGGACCTATCTGGGGACTCCGGGGGGTGGGCGCAGTCGGGCGAATTAGGCATAGCGATTCAGGCCTTCTTTGGTCCCTCGACGATCCCCGAGAACATGACGCTCATATCCCGAGACCCACCGTCCTTGATACAGCTGTGGCGCCACACGGGTCGAGCTGAGGCCAAGGACGCCACATTGTTGAGGCCAGAGGTCCAGAACGTGCGAAAGAAGAGCAGCTCGATGGTTGCAACGATGGTGATAACGGCGCGGACAAGTATTGCCAATGTGGCCTGAGAGCTTCTTGTTGTCAGCCTTGGAGCTATCCGTGTCGGTAGTCTGCACGCTGTCGCTACCGAGAACGTCAGAAAGCCCCTGGTCCACCTGGCAGATTGGGGATGATTAGGAAGGCACCCACTATACACCAACACCGATCCTGGCCCAGGATCACCCTGGGCCCAGGATCGGTGTATACGCCCTCCTGCCTTGCGCAAGAAGGCATATACACCGATCCTGGGCCCAGGGTGATCCTGGGCCAGGATCGGTGTTGGTGTATAGTTGGTGCCCTCCGAATGATGAGGAAGGTGGGGAGGTTGAGGAGGATCCGTACGAACCCAAAGGGGGAGTAGCGACGCAGGGTTAGCTAATCCGCTGCGTGCAGCTGGCTTTCCCGACGCCCCTCGGCGCCGCATGCGCCTGCGTCGTTGAGGGAGGCGGCCGGCCGAGGACTCGAAACGAGCTGCCTGAGAGGAGCTTCCCTAATCCACCCCGCAGCTTTGCCCCCCATTGGCTGTCAGACCCATGCTTCGCGCAACTCCGCTCTTGGTCACTCCTCCCCTGGCTACTCTTCCACGCTGCCTCCCCTGTGGATCCTCCACCTCCTAACCCTTCTCACGTCACCCTCCTTTCACGCCGCTTCACTCTTGATCACCTGCCCCTGCCCTGCCCCTGCGACTGGTGGCCTTGCTGGTCCTCGCGCTGTCGTGTCTAGGGTAACTCCTCGTGCATCTCCTGCTTATGAATACCCGCCTCCGTGCCTCGAGGCTCGAAGTGGAGCGTCCTCAGGTCCCTTCGATTTCTCTGCGTTGGGGATCGCAATACTCCTTAAGGGGCCCACGGCGCTCTCGGGGGTTCTCCGGGCGACTTCCTGGAAGCGAACGCCCTCAGAACGGACCAAGAGGGCCGCAAGAGGCCGCGAAGACAATCCAAGAAGGCCCAGACAGAGTCGCTACAAGATCGTTCCAAGACGCCCAACGCCGGCCCGAGAGGCCCCAAGATTGACCCAAGATGGTCCCAATACGGCCTAAGATTCCACCAGGACGGCCCATAGTGGGAGCACGCACTAATGTTTCGAGCTCTCCGCCCCAAGATGACCCCCGAGACCGCCAGCAGCATGCCCCCAAAGAGGCCCCCAAGGAGTCTCAGGAGGCCCACAAGATCCGCCAAAGAGGCCCCCAAGTTGCATCCAAGAGGCTTCCGAAAGGCCTCCCAAGAGATCCCAACGGGCATCCAGGATTACACTGACATACGAATTGCATCCAAGAGGCTTCTGAGAGGCCTCCCAAGACATCCTGGATTCCACTGACGTACGACCCGGGTGCGGTGGCAGGATGGGCCGAAGACAATTCGATAGTGGTCCTCACTTCTTCGAAACGAAACACTCGGCCTGACGCAGATGGGTCCGCGGGGAGACGCGCACAAGTACTTGAAATAGTTGGCGCTTGGATGCAACACTTTGCGCGCTGGGTGCAATCTGCGCGTGGATGCAATTGTGTGATTCTTCTCCGACGCAATAATAACTGTCGACTGTGCGATAATTCGCGCCCGCCCCATTATAATTGTTGCACACGTTCCCCCACCGTGCTTGCGAGGAACAATCGAAACGTCCTCTCTCCTTTGCTCAATCCCCTGGGCCTCAATCCTCAATCCTGTAGATATTTCAACTGGCGCCTTCTGTTCTCAGGGTTCTGTGGCGCGCTCGCCCCAAAACGCATTTCAAGCTAGCGCCTCTCCTTTTCCAGGTATGCATAAGGGGGTGAGCCCTGATCTTATCACCACACCACGCTTTTGCGTCTTCTTTACAGTCGGGGTCCCTTTCGACCGCGCCAGGGGACAGGTTTTCGCCTGCCCTGCCATGCACATGCGGTGCCTCCAGCTACAGCGAGGATGGCCCAGCCAGCGCTCGTACCCAGCCAGCGCTCGTACCCAGCGGGCCAAGATAAACACTTGCCCGAATCGGCACGCCCTCCCTCACACCCGCCTCCATCTTCCCGACCCGGCTGCCTACGGCACCTCCCCCTCCCTTCCATCCTCCTCCTCGTCCTCGTCGTCCTCCTCCTAAACCCTGTTCCCTGATGGCGTTAGAAGTCTCCGAATGCCGCCCCCACTGGGACTCCTCCTCCTCCTCCTCCTCCTCCTCCTCCTCCTCCTCCTCCTCCTTTTCCTCCTCCTCCTCGCATTCCTTGCCCTCTTGCCTTTTCCCTGCTCTCCCCCTCGCCCTCCCTGCCCCGCCCCCCCTCTCGATCTCCTGCCTCCTCCTGTCACAACGGCGGCTCTCACGCTCTCAACCCCGTTCAAAATCCATCCCGAAACCACATCATCGCCCGAGTTGCCAAGCGGATGTGGCCGTGGCGACGAGAGGCCTCCAGAAGGCCCAGGGAAGGTCGCAAGAAACCATGGGGGGGGGCAACGCCGTTGTGTCGACTGCCCATCCGCCCCCTCTTCCCCCGAGGGAACAGAACATCTAGCCATACCTCTACTCCACAGGCCTCTCCTGCGGTGTGTTCTGACCCTGATTTCGGGGCGAACTCACTTGTGCCGGACACGGAAGGATTGAACATCGTTTGTTGCATCTCTTCCCCACTCACATGGCCTTGGCCCCACTGGCCGACTTGCACCCCTAGGTGGAGATATGTACTGTTCCCTTCAGGCCTCGAGGAGCCCCTGGGTGGGCTGGTCGGGCCAACGTGCCATCGCCCAGTGGGGGTTTGGATCGGTCAGACGATGCTGGAGGCTATGTAGCGGTATCGTTAGATGTTTCTCCTTTAACCCTCTCAAGGCCTTCGGGTCATAACTCAGGCCTCCCGCGGCCATTCGGGACGGTCCGGGCACGCCTGGACGCCTCTCGACGAGGCGCAGCTGCTGGAGAGCACTCCCTGACCCGAAAGTCGCCGAGAACGGACGAAGACTTTTGACCCCCCCCGCGTTTATTTCCAATCGGGTCTTTAATGCTACCGGGGGGGCCCCTAAACTTCCGGCAGGGCAATCAAATTAGTCATTCCCCACCTCGTCCTCCCCCTCATCATCGTTACTATCACGGAGCCTCATACCCACTCGATCATCAGCGGTGGCTGCAGCGGGGCAATGTTTATCTTCCCACTTCCGTTGGGGACCCCAATCCGTCCATAAGCTCGCGCCAAACAAGTATCAGCATTGACCAATGTATTTAAACAAACTGTTCCCCTGGGTCGCTCTGTAATGTTTGTCGACGCGCTGCAGGTCTGAGCCCTATCGCGAGAGCCGCCCCCGAAGCCCGGAGCGCCCTCGGCGAGGCGCAGCCGCCGGAAGGCATTCTTTGACCCGCCGAAGAAGCCCACCGGCAGAAAGCGGCAGTCGGGGAGGGGAGTGGGGGCGAAGGCGAGGGGGCGGGGCAACGCGCGGCCTGCACGCTGGCCGACCGAATTCCGAATTCTAGTCCGGCGGCCCTGGTCGTTGCAACCATCTCGCGCAGCGCCGCGCGCCGGTCGGTCTCGCGCCCGCCAGCCGGGACCGCGGGAACCAGCAGCAAGGCCGCCACCCGCGGCGGCAACGCGGCAGCCAAGCCCGCGCACGGCGTCACCGCCAGCCGCGGCCACGCGGGAACAGAGCGGCGCAGCGGTCCCTGTTGTCGCCGCCGCCCGCATTGCCTGGCGGCGCCAGTGCTGCGGCAGGCCCGGCCGCAGGCAGGGCCCCGCGGCACTGGCGCTGCGGTCTGCGCTCCCGAGGGGCCAAGCCGGCGCTGCTGTGGTTTGCCCTCAGCGCTGCGAGCTCCACCTCTGCCAACAGCCGCTGCGCGACGCCCAGGGCGCGCAGCCAGTTCTCTCACCTGGCGAGCATGGCGGGCGGGCAGCGGGAACCGCGTGCGCGCGGCCGCGCCCGCCAGCCTGTCAGCGGCGGCGTTGCTAAGGCGGTCCTCCTGAAGGTACCCCGAGGCAGGATAAACGCATCGCTGGACCGATCCCAATTCCCGCGGGCGTGGCCTGGGCCCATTGGCCGTTGTACCCCCCTAGATGGGGCTCCAGGCATCTCTCTCTGAGATTCGGGGGTTATATCCTCAACTAGAGTGGTGGGATGGTGGGGATCGGGATGGGGATGGGGATGGGGATCGATTAAACGATACTGAGACGTTGCGAGGAAGTGCGACATTGCAGAGAATCCTGACCAAAGCCCCAGGCCTCGTCTTGCCGCGGTATGCTTCAATCCGGGTCGATATGTGGTCCTGGTGTGAACAAAGTCACAGTGCCCGGATCTCAGGGCTCGCTTTCGGCATCTGACCTCCATCCTCACGCGGCCAAACCTCCCAGCACGGCGGCTTCTCCACAACCAGCCTGTCCGCCAGGGGTCCTCCTCCTCCTCAGTATCATCCTGTTCCTGCTCCTCCTCCGCCTCCTCCTCCTCTTCCTTTCATCTTCCCTCCTTCTCCTCCTGTGTACGAAGTGATCGTCGCCCTCACAATTTTTCCGCCGTCCAAGCTGGGTTCCCTTTCGTCATTCTCTCTCCTTCCCTCTCGGCCGGTCCCGCTGGCTTTCGTTGCTCACTCTTTAAAGGGGCCCCAGAACCCACACATAAATACACACAACAAACATATTCCCTATATTTTCCCATATTTTCTGGGCTTTTGTTTTCGCTCCCCCCCTTCCCATATTTTCGCCTATTTTCTTGGGAATCGACGCTTCATTGTGTCTGTGTGTCTTTTCCCCTCCTGACTCTTGCCCTGCCCTCAAGCCAGAGCCACTCCCTCTTCAGTCTGGCCTGGCCGGCAGGCTGCACTTCAATGACCAAGTCGCTTCCGACACGCGCAGTCTGAATCCCGCACCAGACCCAACGTCGACGAGTATTGCGGGATGACGATTCATAAAAAATGGGAGAGAACGATTTAAAACATAGTTTCCTGCTATTTCTGCACAATTTTCTGACTGGAGGAGAGCGATTAAAAGAATAGCTTTCCAGCCCGCGGCCGGTTTTGTCTAATCGTCATCCCGGGCGCCGCCGCGTGAACACGACCCCCGGTCATTTATTAATCGTCATCCTCCATTATTCCGATTGCAATCTTAATTTGAATGTATTTCCCGCGCGGGCTCAAGGCTAGAAGCTTGCATCCAGATTTGCCACGCAGAGTCGGCACGGCAACTCTCGTTGTTATCAGACGGGGACACACCATATGATATATTGACCACGCATGGCCGCGAGGAGCGCTGGTTTGGGAGGGCGAATCCCTCATGATCCTCCTCTCATTATCCACCACCGCCTTCTGACCCTGACTCCTATGACGCGCCTTTTTTCGCGAGGCTTTCAGTAGACCCTCCTGGGAGCATTTCTTCATAACCTGAATAGCCTATAGCCGCAGTGGCTCCTCCAGTGGCCTCTGGTGACTCCTCCAAATGATTATCCAGTGCCCCCCCTGCAGCCTCCAGAAGCCTGCAATACCCTCCTGCCGTCTCCGGTGGCGCCAGCAAACCACTGCGGATCACTGGAGGCGCAGGAACGCCAGACTGAGTGACAATAGTAGCCTCCAAGGGTCGTCTGAACAAGGCCCCTTCCCGCCCTCGCGAGGCCAAGCCTCACAGCCCAGCGGCTTCTCCACCATCACCACGACATGTCAGGTGCTCAGTATCCTCCTCCTCCTCCTCATTTTCCTCCTCCTCCTCCTCCTCCTCCTCCTCATCCCTCCTTGTCCTCTTCCTCCCTCCGTAGCCATTTTGGCCCAAGCACATGCAGCCAGAATCTCATTTGTAGCATTTGGCTGGGCCCCGGGTCGCGTCCAGTGCCTTCACGTGGCTTTTGGAGGGCTCCTATTCCTGCCTCGGCTCTGTCTTTGCAGCAAGTGTCCGATGGCGAAACTGGACGAATTCGTTCAGTACGGCTTTCAATGTGTTGGCTTTGGTACGGAAGCGTATTTATTGCGCTCGAGGGATGCCCAGAGGGTCTGAAGCACATGCCTGCATTTCCACGCCCCATTCAGCACCACTTCGAGTTCACCCTGTTCATCTGCGTGGTGGTACTCAGTGGTACTCCCGTTTCCGGGTCGGAGCCACCCGTGGTCAGTATCGTTTGACACCTTTCTCCTGCTGCTCGAGGTGTCTGAGACTCGGTTACCCTTCAACTTGATGCGACGTGTTGTTGTAGTTTGTTTCACGCCCCGGAGACGCATCCCACGTGACGAAAAGCGCCGAGGAACCTGCGGTGTAAAGCGAAGGGCTGGACCAAATTCTTCGGTCTTTCCACATGATGGGCCGTGACATTTCACACTGGCGGGTGCTTGGTGGGTTTCAGGTGCGCGGCGTGCTGCTTGCAGAACTTCCTGGTTGGGCCGTGGTCTGGGAGGCTGTGCCTCTCAGCCGTGGTATTTCGTGAAGTGCGCCGTCCTTTGCGTACGCGTGCTCATCCTTGTCGTCTCTTTGCTCAGCGAACTCAGGGGGGCGTGCGTTGTAATATAATCCGACTTCGTCTGGATCCCGTAGTCCTCCTCCTCCTCCTCCTCCTCCTCCTCCTCCTCCGCCTCATTCTCCACCACCACCTTCTGACCGTGACTCCTCTGACGATTCCCTCCCCTCGCGAGGCATGCCTCTTTGAGCGCGCCCGATATGTGCGCAGACTAAATGAGCACGATGCCAAACAGCAAATGCGATCCAAAACCGACAACGGCCGCAGTTGATTGGTGGCGACATCCGCAACCTACTCCCACGAACCATTGATTTTTCTGAGTCGATGGGAGGCTGGGGCAGGGTTCTGATTTTGCCACGTATTCGATACATTCCGAACCATACCCCCGCCGTCCATCGAGTTGCATGAACCCTTGAGCGACGAGGGTAGGGTTCGGATTTCGCCGCCGAGTTGAGCAGCCCGCCGTCTGTCTCAAATGAACAACATCCGCGGGGGCACCGACAGCGAGTCCGGTTCAAAATGAGCAGCAGCTGGTGTCGGTCCTTCACCAGTTCTTCCTCCGTAGCCCTTGCGGTCGTACCAAGACTCCCTTCCTCGCGAGGCGAAGCCTCCCAGCCTGCCGGCTTGTTCACCACCAGCCTGTCCGCCAGAGGTCCTCCTCGAGCGGCCTCCAGTGGATTTTCCAGTGCCCCGCCCTGCGGCCTCGAGTGGCCTCCCATGACCTCTCAAAAGCCCTCCTGAAGTCTCCAGCGGCGCCAGCAAACTGGTTCGGACCACTGGAGTGACAGGAAGGCCAGACTGAGTGACAATGAAAACCTCCCAGGGTCATCTGCTGAAGGATGACCCTCCCAAATGGATCATCTGATGGACGACGTCGTCTGCTAAATGGGGCCTCCCGAACGGGGTCCGAGGACCGCGCCGCATCGCCAATGCATCGCCGATGCATCGGCGACGTCGGCGATGCATCGGCGCCATTGGCGTGGAGAAACTATGACTCTACAAAGAGCCACATCGCCGATGCAGCGGCGACGTCCGCGATGCATCGGCGCCATTGGCGTGGAGAAGTTCTGACCCTACAACGAGCCACATCGTCGATGCATCGGCGCTGCGGCGCGATCCTCCAATCCCATCCACTCTGATCCCATCAGGGATGCTTGCATCCCCTCCCTCGCGAGGTGAAGCCTCCCAGCCCGGCGGCTTCTCGACCACCAGCCGGTCCGCCAGGTCGCGCGCCACTCGCGGGGCGGCTGGATGCCCCGACGCGGCGCGGCCCGCCTTCGGAGGGGGGGGGCCCTGGGGCCCTGCGGGGGAGCGGGGGGGAACCGCGTGGGCGGCAATCGATGCCGCCATGACGGGTGACAAGACCAGTCCACAATAATCGAACCAGAAACACCACCCTCGTACTAGGCACCCCGACGAGCGAAGCCGTTAGCAAGCTCAAGGAGAGAATCGAACAAGGCAGAGCTGTTTAGTTAACGCCCAAGGCTGTCTAATAAACGCCAATTCTGGGGTTCGGGGTGGCTGTTTCCCGCTCGAAAGAAACCCATTGCCATAGCCTGTAGCAAGACACCCAACCCTGAAACTCGCCAGAACAAGTTTCTTGGGCCAGGATTGGCCTTCTTGCTAAACGGCCGGCAGCGAAGAAACGACGGGTACCCTGGGCCAGGCGGGTTGTCGACGGCTCGCACATATCATCTCAGCGTCAAAACACTCTGTGTACCCTGCCGGCTGGGACTTTCCGCGACCGCTGCACGCCGTCATTCCTAACTCAAGCTAGAGAATCCAAGGGTACACTGGCAAAGCGTATCGTGTTTCCTGGTATGGGCTCCCATTGTAGGTGTCAAGGTCCAAAAACACCAGACGCTCAAACCTACCTTGGCGGGCAAACCGATGAAGCCGTGACAGGTATAGGAGCGAGTTGTCGAACCCCGAAGGTGGTCCCCAGCTCGAGCGGGGACTCCCATCCGACAACACACACCTATAGCCCCCGCCCCCCCCCCCTCTCGGGAACTCCACCCAGAGAAATGTGGGCGTCGCATAAGTGCGGGCACTGGTTGCCAGCGCCCGATGTGAAAACACCTGAGAGCACCCACTAGTCGGAAGAAGTGGGTGGAAACATGCAGTAAGAAGGCGGATCGAGTACATTGGGTTTGGGCCCGCCCAAACAAATTCAAAAAATACATCGGTTCTTGATTTAGGAAGGCGCTTGAAATATATTGGGGTCTGGGAGTCCCGAAATGCCCACTTTCAACGACCGGCGTGTACGGTGGCACCCCTAAGCTACCGCCTTTCTCGTTGGCCGAGGGGGCGTAGGGACGGCTTCGGACGGCCTCATGGTTGATGTGGCGGAAACCCGCAAACACTATAATGAAAGCTGCGCGGCGTGTGAAGCCTATTGGCGGTCCTCACGGGTGAGCTTGCCCAAAACGATGGCAATCTCAAGGATGTTCTCTCAAAATATGATTGAATCCTTAGGGTCGGCACCCGAAAGAGGTAATGAAAACTATGGGGATACTGTGGTGATCGTGGGGGGTTGTAAGAGTTAGCGGAGTTAGTAAGTCAGTTGTGCAAAGTAATAAGTTACGCTAAGTACTTGTAAAAAATTATAATTAGCAGCAGTTTGGCTCGACACGGATGTTTTTTTGATCAGTCATATTGATTTCTCACAGCGCCAAGTGCTTATAGGAACGTAATGTTCCGCCGCAAGCGCATGCATTGATGCGTCGTCGGGCACAGAAAGCCAAAGGCACCTCACGCGACCGCCTACCACCTGAACAGGGGAGGCTCAATGGCAACTGATCCACCTCCACTGCGTCTGCACGCCTTCGGGGGGGCCCGCAATCCTTCCAACTCACCACGACGCGCGCCCCATATAACGCGAATGCCCACAGCGATGTTCAACGCTGTCGCATGTGCGAACACGAACATTCGCGTGCACGGGGCGCGCGCGGCGAGTCCGCTGGTTTGCGAGCTATAGAGACAAAGCCCCGACCATCGCAGTGATGATGTCTCTCGAGTGCAGCAGCTGCACGTCGTTGTCTGCGTCAGCCACGGTCAACGCGCCTGACCGAGCATCGTAGTGAGAAGCCTGCCAGACAGAAACCAATGACACCATCGCCCCATGGACGGCAGCATGGAACCACGCCTCTCCAACAGCCTTGTTGCCGCTTGCCGCAGAGAACAACGCGATGCCCCGAGACAGGCAGACCGCCAACGACGACACGCGAGCCTGCAGGGCGGTAGTCGTGGACCCCTGGGGGAGTCGATGACCGATCTTCTCCTCGAGGAATCTGCGCATTTTCTTGGACGCCGCCCTCGGATTAATCAAATGCGGCGTGAAATTGAAAACGCCGGTGTCGCGCAAATTGTGTAAGTGGGGATACGTAACCTCGGGCAACACGCTCTTCTCTGATGCGTCCAACTGACTCATATCGTTGCAATATCGTTTCGGCGTCCTGTGTTTTCTTTCGTGTACGGAGCATGAAAGAAGGCGCGCAAATCTGCGTGAATGAACGGGAAATGGACCAGCCAGTGGAACTTCGGAGTCGCGCATTCTTCCCATCTTGCTACCTCGCAGGCATCATAAAATTCATTCGTCCTATCTCTGAGAGTTATGTGAGATGAACGGCCTGAAGCTGCAGCAACTACGCACCATATCAGGTCGCACAAACGAACGAAAGCGACGCGGGCCGCTCGAGCAGCCCCCCCTGGGAATAAGAACTTTCGTGAAAAAAATGTACATGATTGGCAGCACTGACAATGCTTCGCTCGCCTGGCACTTTAAAGCTTTCGCTTTCGTATTCGCCGTCTCGCGGCTCTTGAGGAATAGCCCGGGCAGGCTGCTTGCGCTGCCGTGCGCACTGGGCAGAGACCATAGCCCGACGCATTCCTCAAGCCTGGTGAATGCGTTTGCCATATCCCGTCGCTCTTGCAGGCCGCAAAGAAAATACATGCAATGATATCGAACGCGCCCCGAATTAAGAATGCATGCGCCCAGTCGCGGATATGCTGCTCAACAGGCATTGCAATGGCATCCAACTGCGGGTCGAACAACATATCCTGAACGTGGTGGTTGAAACCGAACGCCTGCTCACGAGTCCCGCGCGTGGCCCCGAGCGTTTCCCGCGCGCCCGCGCGCCCGCGGCGCGTCGCCACGCGCGCCGCGCGCAACCAGGCAACGCGTCGCGCGCGCACGGGCACGCGGGAATCGCGCGCCCGAGGGAGAATGACGACGACGGGGAGGGGCGATGAGGGCGGAGGCGGGGTGGCAAAGGAGGGCGACGAGGAAGTGGGAGGGAGGCACGGGGCGGGCGCTCGAGTTTGCAGGCGCCCCTGCAGGTCTTGAAGTCAGCGTCGGAGTCCGTGGCGCGGGCCGCAGCCAACCTCCGAACGCTTCCCCTGGCGTCGTCATTCGCGGCGAAATCATTACCACCCCCGCGCATCACATCTGTCCTCATCAAGGCCTCTCCGTCTTCATCCACCAACGCGCCGCCCAACGCAATGACACTGCGATATTTGGTACCAGCATCGCCTTTATCCAGCCAAATAAATGTCTGTGCGCCTCCGCCTTGGAGGGCCACCCCAAAGTTGCAATGCAACCGGCGTGCGCCTAGCGCAATGCCAGTCGCATGCAAAGAACCATATGTTCTACAAAACAATTCTTTTACCAACATCTTGAATGCTTGTGCTACTCCAGCGTCGATGTTGGATACACGCCTTGGTCTCGTGCATGCCGTGCAGAACCACGCATCTTCCTGCGAAAGCACTTCGGGCCCGAGCTCCAAAAACGAAGCGCAGAACACCCACATGTTACTGGAATTGTCTGGCTACAATTGACTGCCTGGTGCTACTTCGTCGGAATAGTATATCAGTGTCCATGGTCGTTCGAATGAGCTCGGCGTCGTCGCGGGCGTTCTGCCAGGGAGATTCCGCAAGCTATTGCACTGAATGTAGGCTACGTGCGGCATCGCATGACAATTTGCCACAGTAAACGTAATCGGTGAAGGACTGGCAGAATATTCGATACTGTGAAACAGCGTGCCATACGGGGTCTCCTGGTTTATAACGGCCCCCCTGGCCTCACGGATGTCTCTGCGAGGTGCAGTGAAACGTTCGCCCTGCATGGGCTCTTCCAAAATTGCTGACAACGCCGCCGCAGACACGTGCGGGCATGCTCGCCTCAGAGACTCGATCTTCTGATACTTGGCCGACTTCTGCGCGTCGGTCATCCCAAGCGCGTAAGCTGCACACCAACGAACGAACGAACAGTTGGGCCAAAATGGAAGCTGCGATACGCGCGGGTCCTGCAGCGCAAGGGGCGACGACGACGATCGCGATGCATGCGTGCCAACGCGCAGCCGCGCATGTAATATACACTTCTGCTGCGATACAACCGCACACTCAAAGCACGCGTCAAGACATGACCCCCCCCCCCCCCCCCCTCCCGTCATCAAACTTGCACCGCGGGTGCACCCCTGCACCGCGGGCGCGTCCCTGCACATGCATTTGCACCGCAGGTGCACCCCTGCAGCCATTTGTAATGCAATCGATGGGTCATCGGCTACATTTGCAGACAAACTTGCACCGACGCAGCCCGCGTGCGGGCATCCGCACATGCATGCATGCAGTTGCGCCTGCATGCGTGCTGGTATACGCACGAATGCGCGCAGTTGTGCACCCACGCACGCAGCCATGTATGATATCATTTGCACCTGCGGTAAAACCGCACCCTCCCCTCCACAATTCCCCTCATCACGGTTCCTTCCCCTGCCCGCCCTCCATGCATGCCTACAAGTGCCCCCCATTGCAGGTTCCTGCTAACTCGAAGTCGTCCCATGCTGCCACGATTGCAATGCAGATTGTACCGCGTGCTCGCGCACACACGACATGCTCGCAATACAATGCATGAATGCCTGCAGTCACGCCCGCATGTCCGAAACGCACGCGCACCATGCACGCGACTCCCCAACCGCCAAAGCACATGTGATAAAACGGAAGGCCCGAACTTTGCATACTGATGCACTCTAAACCTTGCGGCCGCTGCAATGGGCGAACATGGGGCCCGACATCTGCACGGGCGCGCAGGGGGGCGGACACGGCCGCTCGCACAAGGGTTGCAAGGGCATGCGCAAATGTGTTTTCCACGCAACATGGACAAACAACGGCACTCGCTTCTTCAAGTCTAGTCTGGGCACAGATGCTGCGAGCAATAGCGCCCCACCTATCCGCGCGCGGTGCAACATCAACCAGCCCTCCACCACATCAATCCCAAATGG